ATGATTTACTGAGAATTTTTCAAATCATTAATTGGTATTAAATTTTATCTAAAGTTCTGATGAATCCGTTCAGATGGCCATATAGTTTATCTTTTTTACATGTTAATATAGTGAATCACATTGATCTTTTGAAATGTTAACTGGTGTCTCTTTGTGGGAGTTTTTTTGTTTGGTTTGATTTGATTTTTGTTTTTTGGTTTTTCTGAGACAGAGTCCTAATGTGTCGTCTTGAAGGGAAATATTAAGAATTACAGTGCTAATCTAGGCTCATGGCACATGCCTGTAACCCCAGCTCTAAGGAGACCGAAGCAGGAGCCTCAGTTCAGGGCCAGACTGGCCTACATTTTGGAGACCTTGTCTGAACACCAATCACCCAAAGCTGGGCATGGTGTCACATACCCATATAGCAGTCCTAGCACTCAGGAGGCCGAGGTAAGAGGATTGCTGTGAGTTCAAGGCCAACCTGGTCTGCATAGTGAGTTCAAGGCCAGCATGAACTACATAGTGAGGTCCTGGCTCAAAAAACCAACGAAAGAAAGGAAAGGGCAACCAATCAAACAAACAAAAAATTTAGGGTGAGGGTATAGCTCAGTGGTAGAGTTTTTATCCAGCAAGTACAAAGCCCTAGGTGCCATCCCCAGTACTAGAAAGTAAACAAAACAAGAAGGGTTTGTTTTGGACTAAGCTCCTGTATAAATAAAGTGCAAAATAAAAATTGGGCTGGGTGTGGCAGCACATGCCTGTCATTCCTGCACTCTGGGAAGCTGAAGCAGGCGAATATAGGTTTAAACCCAGCCCCCGTGACTTATCAAGACTCCCCCCCCAAAAAAAATTAATTAAAATAAAAAATTAAAATGAGGTCATTCGGAAGTTACTGATTGCCACACTCAGACAGACTAAGGTGTTGATCTGACCTAAGAAATCAGGTTTTGAGCGTAAACCAGCTAGTTGTTTATTTCTTTGGGGAAGGGGATACTGAGAGTTGGATCCTAAGACTTTTGCCTGGGCTAAGTGCCTGCTCTGCCTCTGAGCTGAGCCAGTCAGTGGTCATTCTCGGTGTGGTAGTGAGTCCTGTCTTTCACAGAGAGAGAAACCTGGAGTAACCTAATGGTAACTAGGAATTTTCCTGTGGTTATGTCTCCTTGTCCCTGCTTTACAAGGAAATTGACTGTTGTTGATTTTTTGTTTGTTTGTTTGTTTGTTTGTTTGTTGGTACTGGGGATCGAACTCAGGACCTTGCTCTTGTGAGGCAGGAGGTGGAACCACTGAGCTAAATTCCCGGCCCAAAATTGACTGATTTTTGTTGTTGCTGTTGTTTTTGTTTTTTTGAGACAGGTTCTGACTGTGTAATTGAGAGTGACCTGGAACTCACTATGTAGCCCAGGCTGGTCTTGAACTCAGTGATCCTCCTGCCTCAGCCTCCCAAGTGCTGGGATCACAGGCATACACCACCACGCTGGCAACTGTTCTTTCTCTTTTTGTTTTTGCTTCTTCTTCCAGAGCTCTGGGACTCCAGGGTCCCCAGGCTCAGCCACTCCTCCCATAACCCTAAGTGAAGGACAAGATAGAGCCTGGGGGAAGATTAGGACAGGAGCTTTGCTCAGCACAACTATGCTGTGAAGCATAGATAGAGAGGCTCGAGTCTGTCTCCAGGAGCTGCTAGAAACTTTGGGGTTTTACAGAAAAGAAACAAAAGCAAGGTCTGAGGGTTTGTATAGCTAGCAGCATAGCCGGTCTCTGAGCAAGTCCTGGTCTGGTTGATCAGGGTCTCAGAACAAAATTCTGTGCAGTCCCAGGAGGGCCTTCAATGCTGGAGGGGCAGTTGGTTCCTTCCCATCATGATGTGATGGCCCCAGCCTGGGTGACTTCCTTGGTGGGGTGGCCTGCCAGGCTCCAGGTGGTTGCAGGCTAGTACAGAGACTGGGGATTTAGGCATGCTGCAGGGCAGGGATGGTGAACGCCCACATTGCAGCCAAAACCCACTTACTTATGGCATTGTTCCAGCACTGCAATTAAACCTGAATACTGAGTTTTAGTATAGGAAAAATCCCTCATACATTAGCACGTTTTGCCTTAAAAGTAAATCTCTGCCAGTGCTCCAGGGGATCTGGATTTGGACTTTTCTAAAAGCTGGAGATTAGATGTCCTGCAAAGTCTGAAGAATGCCTTGGTTACCCATATTTTAGTGCCTCCAGTCTTGAAGAGCGATGAGACAGGCTAGATGATTTAGGGCTAATCAACCTTGAATACACTTCTTACAAACATGATTAATCAGACATGTATGATTAACATATACTACCAGGGATCTGATCCAAAATTTTGAGATAATGGACATTATGAAACAGGCAGAAAGCTGAGCTTGGCGGCACACATTTGTCATCTGAGAACTTGGAAGGCTGAGGCAGGAGGATAGCCGTGAGTTTGAGGCCAGCCTGGAATATATAATGAGACTCTGTCTCAAAACAAAACAGAACAAAGGCAGAGCTGGCAAGCTTTATCCAGCTGTTAACCATTGACCATCTGCAGGCCTCACTAAACTTCCAAGCCTTCCTCTGTCTATAAAACCCACATCCTTTGTTCTTACCCTCAGAACTTTTATTCTGTTTTATGGGATTGAACTATCTAATTCTAGAATTGGAAATAAAACTAATGAAAATCTTCATATCCAGCCTTTCTTTTAATTTTGTGATGGTCTCATCGAGTCACTAAATTATCCAAACTAGGCTCAGACTTTCAGTTATCTTGCTTTAGCCTCCCAGACAGAGTGCTGGGATTACAGTTGTTTGCCTCCACAGCCAGCTGTAATTTTGTCTTTGACAGTTTTTTTAATTGCAGATTTAATTTTGTTAATATACAGGGGTAGTTGGGTTTTCTGTTTCATCCTGTATCACTTTAAGTAAATTGTATTTTCAAGGTACTGGTCTATTTCGTTTGCCTTTGCTAATTTCTTGGCACGAAGTTGTTCGAGATATCACTCACTACCTTCTTCACACCTGTAGGATTCTTGTAATGAACTCTTTGCTCGTGTTGCTGATTTCTGTTCTCTTGCTCTTTTTGGTCAGTCTGTGTAAAGATACAGGAAAAGAATAAACTCAGTTTCTCCTATACTTTCAGCAGTCAGTAGAGACTTCTGTGACCAAACATATGTGTTTCCTTACACACCATAACTAGTCATGGTTCTGGTGGGCACAATCCAGGCTCACTCCAATCCAGTTAGACTCTGGCTGTCTACCTGAAGGAAGCATCCCCGCAGGGACGGGCACAGTCCTGGACACTCCCATCCTCAAGCCCCAGACTTTCCTGTGCTTCTAACCAGCTGCCTGGAAATCAGGACTCCTACAACCCCAAGCTTAGATTGTCATGCGCTGCAGAGTTCAAAAACCTCTGTGAAACATGTCTATCAGCTTATTCAGAGAGTATCTCAAATCATACAAGCAGACGAAGAGGTCTGTAAGGGTGAAGTCTCAGAATTTTTTGATGCACATCTTAAATCTACGTTCTTTCACCATTTTCATCATGATTTTCTTTTTATTTTCATGTGTTGTTATTTCTCTCCTCTCCTCCCCTCCCCTCCCCCTCTCCTCTTTTCTTGGTACCGGGGATTGAACTTGGGACCTTGCACTTGCATGACAGGCACCCAAACCACTGAGCTAAATCCCCATCCCCTCATGCGTTATTATTTCCTTCTTCCATTTCTTCTGTGTTTTTCCTTATTTTCTAGTTTTACGTGGGGTCTTGATGAATATGTCATGTGAGTATTCTTCTGAAAAACAGAATTGGTATACTGGTACCCATATGTGTATCTAAAAGGAGACTATGACTCAGTGGTAGAGCACTTACCTAGTATTAACAAAGCCCTGGGTTTGATCCTTGGTATATAGCTATAGAGAGATAAAAAATTAGGACTTGGCTTACATAATGAAGTCCCACAATCTACCATTAGCAAGCTGGAGTCTGAGGAAAGCCTGTGGTGTAGTTAGAGTTAGTCTGAGGTCTAAGAACCAGGGATACTAATGATGTAAATGCTAATCCAGACTGGGTTTGAATGCATGCAGCCCTTCTGCCTCAGCCTCTCAGAATGCTGGGGTTACAGGTGTGAACCACATTTGGGTGTGATTTCTTCTTTGAAGTACATGTTATTTGGAAGAGTGTTTTTGTTTTTTACGATATGAGGAATTGAACCCAAGGCTTTCCCACTGAACCTCACCCCTTCCATCTCCTCCCCCCTTCATTTGTAGACACTCAGTTGCAGGGAGGGGGGAAGATGTCACAGTGCTGGGACTGTCTGTACTAGTGTGTGCCACCATGCCTAGCTGACACCAAGTTCTTGAGGTATTTTTCTAATTTAATTCTTTTTAGGTCAGATAACGTGCATGGTTTCAGTCTAAGTTTTTGGAAACCTGTTTTAAGGCCCAGTGTTATATTTTAGTCAATTTACAGTGTACACTGAAGAAGAATGTCTATTCTACAGAAGTCGGATGCTGTATAAATACAATTTCAAGATAGGCATGTAACCCCAGGATAACTTTGAATTGCACTTTGATGTATAAAAGTACTCATTTATTTTGATTTTTCCCTGTGTTCTGTATAACTTGACTTTTTTAGTGTTTCCTTAGCATTTGCCTTTAAACTTGTTTAGCCGTCCCTCTTAGATTCTCTTGTTTCAGTTTGTTGCAGTGCTGCAGAGGACCCTGGGTCTTGAGAGTGCCAGGGTGGTAGGCAAGTGGGTGTGCCCCCACCCAGGTCTGTAGAGCCCCAGCCCCTCTCGTGGAGAGGTTGCTCTTGGGACTGCAGTACACATCTTCAGTGTGACAGCACATTTCACGTGTCCCCAGGTAGAACAGCTTCCCACTCTTACGGGGTGGAGTCTGTCTGCACATGTTATTAAACCATGGTTTTTTGTTTTTTTTTGCTTTAAACGGTTGTATGGTATATACTGTCACCTCTGCACTTGGAGTTTTTATCTGTCCTTGATGTTTTCTTTCATTATTCTCTTCTAGATTAACCTACTATGGCAGACCAGAGGCAGCGCTCACTTTCTACCTCCGGAGAATCACTGTACCATGTTCTTGGGCTGGACAAGAATGCAACCTCAGACGACATTAAAAAGTCTTATCGGTAAGTGGCTGAGTGAGGCTCTGCCCTCCCAGAAGGACACAGTCCTTCAAGTGGTGTAATCTCCTTTGTACAGGGAGAGTTCTTGGGCATATTCAGTACAGAACTGGTAACAGTTCTGCCTTTCCGTATGTGTGGTGTGCTCCTCATAGTTTATAACTATCATGGTAATAATGTTCTCTTAGCAACAAAAGCTAAACACTTTTCAGATGTTACAGTTCCACAGGGAATTTGAGTGATGACCTCAAACTCACCAGCCCAGGCTGGTCTGGCATTCTCAATGATTCTCCTTCCTTAGCCTCTCTGAGTGCTTGGATTACAGCATGTACCACCACGCCCAGCTGGTGTTTCTTTTGCATTCTTAGCACTGTCTTGCCAAGTGTAGTGGCACGTGGTGCACTTGAGAGGCTGAAGCAGAAGGTTCACCACAAGTTTGAGGCCACCCTGAATTACATAGGGAGACCCTGTCTCAAAAAAAAAAAAAAAAAAAAAAACAGAGCCAGTGATGTAGCTCAGTGGCACAGCACCTACCTGGCAAGAGCAAGGTCCTGAGTTTGGTCTCCGGTACCAAAAAAAGCAAAGACAAGTGATAAATAAATATATTTTAAAAACAAAAGCATTGTGCAATCGATGAAGCACAGTCTAAGATGCCATTATTGCACCCTCCATGCCTGTAGTTTTATTACAGTAAGTGTGCAGTAAGCCACCTGGGGCACTAGGGCCAATGTTAAGGTTTCCTTTTGTGGTGTGAGAAGTTAGCAGAAAGAGTGCTGCCTGCTGTGCCTGCTACTAATACCTCAGGACTGTCAGGTGGAGATGAAGAAGGGAGCTTGCCCTGAAACAGTTGCAGGTTTCTTTTGACCCTGACATCAGACCTCTGAAAATCTGGAAATTGAGGTGGTAATGGGTAAATATTTCTTCCTCTGGACCCTCCAGTGGATGAGCATGAAATACCAGAACAGGTAGAGCCAGGAAATGGTTTTGGTTCGCAGGAAGCTTGCCCTGAAATATCACCCAGACAAGAACCCTGATAACCCAGAGGCTGCAGACAAGTTTAAGGAGATCAACAACGCCCACGCCATCCTGACCGATGCCACAAAAAGAAACATATATGACAAGTACGGCTCTCTGGGGCTCTATGTGGCCGAGCAGTTCGGGGAAGAGAACGTCAACACTTACTTCGTGCTCTCCAGCTGGTGGGCCAAGGTGAGGAGGGGAAAGGGCACTAAAATGTCTCCTGCCTGGTAGGATTACAGATGCTAAAGCGTCTGGGTGTGGTGGGGCACGCCTATAATCCCAGAACTCAGGAGCCTGAGGCAGGAGGATCTCTATGAGTTCACCCTTCAAGGTCAGCCTAAACTACATAGTGAAAAGATCCTTTTCTTATTTTGGTACCAGGGATTGAACTCAGGAGGCGCATTTGCGAGGTGGGCGTGGTGCCACTGAGCTAAATCCCCAGCCCTAGGATCTGTACTCTTAAGAAAAGGTCTCTGGTGCGTGGCAGTCCTCTTCCTCCCGTGTAGTAGGCAGTGGCTGCAGCTGGCATGGTAGCCAGCGCGCAGCGCATGCATGCAGAAGGTCCATGCTGAGCCACTTGCACCAACAGGGTTTCTCTCGTGGCTCTTAAATTCTTAGGAGGGTTGAGGTAGGAAATAAGCCTCTTCAGGATGGTATGCTTAGGCTTTTTGTTGCCAGGGGAAGGGGAAGAGATCTGTTTTTTTTTTGAGTACTGGGGATTGAACTCAGGTCCTTGTGCTTGCGAATCAGTGGCTGGAACCACTGAGCTAAATCCCTGGCCCCAAAGGGGGAAGAGATCTTGAAATCTAATGTCAGAAACATTTGACTTCTATCATTTTTTTTTGTTGTTTTTTTGTTTTCCCTGTTTGTCTACCATGTATAAGTCCAGAGGGTCTGAATTATGACATGATTCTTAGTTGTAGAAAGCCCATACCTGCCCTCACTAGTGAGCCCTCAGTCCTGTCTATAAATTACTGCATGCTTTTCCTTTATTTATTCTCATCTGAGAAACATACCCTTGGCATGGAGTGTCCCCTCCACAAGTCTTGTCCTCTCTGGGGAGGTCCCTTGCACGGAGGCCTGCGGGACCCTGGGAGGCAATGCAGTGCCAGCATTCTCTCCCTAGGCCTTGTTTGTCTTCTGCGGCCTCCTCACCTGCTGCTACTGCTGCTGCTGCCTATGCTGCTGCTTCAACTGCTGCTGTGGGAAGTGTAAGCCGAAGGCCCCTGAGGGCGAAGAAACTGAGTTCTACGTGTCCCCTGAGGACCTGGAGGCACAGCTGCAGTCTGACGAGAGGGGTGAGTGCCTGCCCCAGAACCCGCGTGTGTGCGTGGGGCAGAGCCAGCATGGGCCCTGAACAGTGTCAACTGTCTTGTCAAACAGGAGGGCACTGACACTGTGCCGCGAGTGTTTGTGGTGGCAGCTGGGACTGTTGAGGTGTGAACGTGGACACTTGAGGTAAAGCAGGTGCAGGGATCTGTCCCCGCCCGTGAACTGTGGTAGCCGTAGATCCAAGGGAACAAGAGGTGGGGAGGGCGGCAGGCAGGTGGGGAGGCCTGAGGGCTGGTGATGACCTGAGGCCACTGAGGAAAATGTGCTGGGTGGAGGTGAGCGAGTAGCCTCTCCCCTCTGAGTGTCTGTCCAGGTGGCCAAGCGTTGTGATGTGAGAACCCTGTTGAAGGCACATGGTGTGGCTGCAGCCCTGGTACGATGAGGATGCTTGCTTCCTTTGCAGAGGCCACAGATACACCAATCGTCATACAGCCAGCATCCGCCACAGAGACCACCCAGCTCACGGCCGACTCCCACCCCAGCTATCACACTGATGGCTTCAACTAAGTTCAGGAAAAGCTGTGATTAGAGGATGAATCAGCACCTGGCCACTGCAACCGTAGAATCATGAACTGTAGTCACCAAGACGGCAAGGCAGCGGCTGACCTGCCTGGCTGTGTCGGGCCCTCCCACCACCTCTACGCCCGCCCATCCGTCCATCCTCGATACATGAAGTGCGTAGCATGCAGTATTTAAAGCAGTGTAGCTACGGTCTTCTTCTTTTTCTTCTTCTTTTTCTTCTTCTTCTTCCTCTCTGTTTTTCCTTTTTTAATAGCATGTATGGGTTATGTTCAGTGTCTGTGTTGTGGACATGCTGCAGCCCAGCTGCATTAACTGGACAGTGGAGCTGCCTCGGGGCTCCATTCAGGTTGGTCCGGGAAGGGCTAACCGCAACGCCAGGTTCCACCAAGCCAGTTGGACTAGAAAAAGAGGGGCCTCCCTTGCTTCCTGGTGCCCACCAGGGCTGGAGGCGGGTGCCGCCTGGTGGAGCTGCATCTCCACCTTGACCTTGGTGTCCCGAGATGGGTCTGGTCCACGCTGTGCTCCCTGGCCGTGAGGCTGCAGGCAGGGCACTGATCTCACTGGCTGGGAAAGTAAGTGGGCCACATCCTCCGAGCACCACCAGCATCACAGTCCTTTTAGCAGTGTTTGTGTTGGGCACAGTTTGCACCTTGTTCACTTGGCCTCATGGCAGAGTTTCTTTAGTGGACAGATCTGCTGTGGAAAGTGCAGGTACACCCTTTCCGAGGGTGAACTCATGCTCTCTGCACAGCGCCTTTAGCCCAGGTCTCTTCCACAGGGACCAAGGTTCCTTTCCGTGGAGTTGCCCCTTGCCTGTGTGTAGGTTGTTTGTCTCTTTTCCTAGACCTTTCCCAGGCCAATAGCTGGATAGATGGGGCCATGGTCTCTCTTCCCCTTCTGTAAGTCTGACTCCACATTCCTTCAAACCCACCTGTTTTTAAATCTTTTCTTGAACTTCTGAAAACTGCAAGTGATAGGATCTGCTTAGTCATAGTCCAAGGGTCTGAGCTCTGGCCATTGGCACATGGCTACTTGTGCCTAGGAAGTGTTGTGTAAGTGTCCAGCCCTTGGGACTTTCCTCCCTGTGCTTGCTAGAGCTTGGCCCACCCCCTTGCCTTCGTCTCTGCCTGTCATCCATGATTCAACAGAGCAGGAATACTGGGTTCCTGGAGAAGGTGGAGGGAGCCAAGGTGCCTCAGGAGGGTTGAGTCCCAGGGAGGCTGCACTGATGCCTCAGCTCATCCGCCAGCCTGGAAGGTTAGTGCTGGACCACAAACCCCTGTGCACACCACTAACAGTCTGTCCCGTCTGTGCCCCAGACCTTGTAGGTGGTACCCTGGGTGGGGGAGCTGAGGAGATGCGGACTGTGCCCGTATGGAGCAAGGTTTGGAGCTGTCTCACCCCCAGCAGCTCCCTGCATGTGCTGGACCAGACTCCAGTGAGCTGGGTTCCTGCAGACGTCCAATGCCAAACATCGTCTCAATTTCCAGTAGAGGTGAAGGAGAAGACTCACGTGGAGACTCCATGGCCCAGATGACTTGCCGTGTACTCCTGAATCTTGGCCCCAGCTCACCAGCATATCCAGAAAGTAGGGTTAGGGTGACAGGAAGTTGCAAGAAGGGGCAGCAATGTTAGGACAAACCTAACGTGATTCAGAATACCTCACTGGTTTGGCGTCCCCAGCCCCTTCTGCTTAGAGAGCAGTGACGCTGCAGCCCCCAGCTCATCTGACTGCTGTTACACGTGGGCCAGGAGCCAGTTGGCTGCCAGCACCAGGTGCTTGGGTGGGTCTGTTTTGCTCCTTAAAATGATCATGAAGACATTAGGGAGGATTCATCTAGGATGTTAGACATAGCTTATTAACATCAGATTTCTTGTGGAAGGATAAGAAATGCACTGTTGGGCCCATCTGGAAACAGAAGGTGAGACCACTGGGTGTCCTATGTGCCAGTCCCAGTATGACAGTCATAAGGGACTCTGTAGAAAGGCTACCTGGTCAGCCTTGGTGACTTCCTGGAGATCATTAAAAAGTGAGTTGTTTTTCCCCAGGATGGCCAAGAACCAGGTTCAGGGTGTGGACGTGGTGGAAAGTGTGGTGCCTACCTAGGGCTGTGGGGAAAACTGTCCTGGTCTGCAGCTCTGTGACTCTAGCTAGATAATCTCAACTGGAGTAGTGGCTGGGGAAGGAGAGCAGCACCCAAACCCAGAGTCCTGCGGAGTTTGTAAAGCTAAGGAGATCATGTAGAATGTGTAAAAATGAATAAGACAGTTGTCAAGGTGATGACAGTGATTGCCCAAGGCCCAGCTGGGGATAACTGTGAACGTCAGGATTGGGAGTCCTTCCTGCCACCTGACCTTGTAGCAAACCCCTCTTCATTGTCTTACTGCGTTGGTCTCAGGCCTGCCTGGTTTTGGCCCTTTTAATAAGTAGAGCTGGTGAGTCTGGGGGAGTAAGGTTACACCACTTCCTGTCCAAGTGCTAACAAATCAGAACAACCCCCAGTTCTTCTGACTCCTGTGCTGGTGTTAACAGCAGGTGTCAACTTCACCTGCCTGGAGTGCTGCAGCCACTGCGCATGGAAGCCTGTCAGAGCCTGGGTTCCCTCGGGGTCCAGGCAGCACTGGTCACTTCTGAGCTGCAAAGGGTGGGAGAGACCTGCGAGGCCATCTCTGGGGCGCTGCTGCTGCTACTGTGCGAATTTCTGTTTCCGCTCAGTGATGTGGACTTTTCTTGTCTTCCTTTTGGCTTTATTCTATTTTTAAACTGCTTTAGATATTACTGCTCACTGTTCATGAGCCTTCCTAGTTCTCTGATCAGTTTAATATAGCCAACACCCAATGGGGACCTGTTAGAAAAAGAAACCAGAGCATTCAATGCAGTTAGCAGGAAACTTCGTCTCAGTGTTGTCGGTTGTTGGACTTGACCACAAGCGTCAATCCAGGAGAGGCCCTGGATCATGAAAGCTCAGGACTCTGCAGGTGTCTGACCCATGTGCCACTGGCAGCAGTGTGCATTGTCCTGCTGAGCCATGGCGGTCTGTCCCAGGTGAACCTCGGTGTGCCGGAGCAATGTCCACCAGTGTAGCTGGGTGTCTCGGGAGATGGTGGCCCTGGCGTGCAGGCTGTTGCCGGGGGTTCCGGGTGCTGTGGGCAGAGCTGGGGTGGATCTTTTCTGTCCTTGGTTGGCCCTCAATGCACCCTGTCGTGGGAAGTGTTTTGTGAGGGTGTGCCCAGTGACTGATCTCATTCCTTTCCCCGTATTCTGAGCTGTAAACCCCAGCGGCCCACAACTGACTTGTCTCTGTCATGTTTTGGTTCCAGTCATCCTCCTGTGGAATTGGCAAAAGCTACATCTTTACTGTACTCACATGCACGGTTTGAGTGTGGGCTGTGGTGTGTGTCTGTGTACATATGTGTATATGTATATATTGTGCAGCAGGCCTGTCATGCTGCTGTCCAGTGGCTAAGCGACAAGTACAATAAAGTTGGCATCAAGCAGCTCTGGTTTCTTTGCAAGTTGGACAGGGGTAGGGTCTCCGTATGGTCTCCAGGGAATGCACAGCAGGAAACTGCACCACTGTGTGCAGAAAGCACTGCAGAGGCCCCATCAGCATTGGGCTTTAGCAGGGTTGGGCATGAGGTAACTGTCACAAACATGTCCGTTCCTGGGGGCTCTCTCAAGCTCGTCTAACCCATAGGTATGAGAAATCTAGGAAGGTGACTGGAAACCAACCCTCCTCTTTCTTGAAACATTGAAAACCACTTTTCTGGGCACTAGATACAATCAGAGGCAAGGTTGCATGTGAAGGGCAGCCTGGGTCGGGACTCAGTGCTGGCCACTCCTGGGAAGGGGCATCACCCTCCAGAAAGGGGCTAGGCCAAGGGCCCTGGAGGCAGCATTTGGGAGATTTGTCTTCCTGGAAAGTGAGGCAGTGTTTTATGCTGAATGGGGCAGGGGGAGTTTACGCGGAAGCGTATATATGCTATTTTTAAAGATTAGGTGCAAGTGCATGGAAAGCAGTTGTCCATGCACCGGTTTTACCCCATTCCTGGCACCCATCGCCCTGGGGTACAGTCTGCTGTCCGAGCCTTGGCTGACTCTGGCTCCGACCCGCACTCCAAGGGCCAGGCTGGAGGCCTCAGGTGGTTTCACATGGTGTTCTCCATCTTGTATGTCTGAATGTTGATCTGAAATAAAGATGACTGTTGTAAAATAACATGTTTTCACTGCGGGACAGGTGTGTCTTATTTAATGCTGTCTTCAGAACCCTTTCTTTCATGAGACTTACACGTAGGTGTCCGCTGGCCTCTGACCCTGGTGGTGGGATCTCACTTCTCTCCTGCTCGATACAAGTGTGAACGCCCCTCCTCTGGGTTCTCTTTTCACCTCCATTTACACACACACACACACACACACCCCTCAGGGACTGAACTCAGGACCGTGAGCTTTCAAGGCAGGCATGGTGCCCCTGAGCCAAATCCCTCCATCTCCATTTTCCAAACACGAACGCTTGTACAGTGAAAGGGGCCTGTTAGCTAATGAGTCCATATGCCATGGGCACCGTGGAGCACGTCTTGGAGGTCTTGGCGGCCAAATCTTCACCTTGTGGCCCCAGAGCCAGTGATACCATACCCATACCCTGGGAAGGTCCTGTGGTCTCTTCACACCGAGTCCACAGTCCTTGGTATTGCTGTCCCCCATCTGCTTGGCTGACCAGCACCAGCTCTCTTGCCTCAGCCAGGACTGTCCTGCTCCCATCTACAGACATGTACCCCACCTAGCTTACGGTGCTAGGCGTGGCCATGTTGACTGGCCCATTTCCCAGATGAGCAGATGCAGGTGTTGGAGCACCTGTGTGGATGCCATGAGCCAGTGTGTGAGCATGGCTGGCCAGTTCCAACTCAGCCCTTCACCCGACAGAAGGTTCTGTCCTGAACTGGCAGCATAACAAAAGGTGGGGAAGGGTAAAGGACACCTAGGCATCTCGGCTTTGATGTAGGGCCAGCCTCTGCTGTCCCCTGGAGCAGAGTAACTGCATCTGAGCCTGTGCTCTAGGCTTATTGGCTAGCAGCGCCATCTTTGTACACCTCTGTGTCCTGGCCATTCCGGTTTCCCAGGGTTGTCCTGCCACCTTCCCTAGGATACCTGGACATCAGGCTGCAGCAACTTCTGCCTCTGAGCTGTGGATCTGCCTCGTGTTGCCTGCTGTCTCCCACTCAGCCCTTCTGATGTCAGTCCCTGGGGTGGTGTGAAATACGCTTCGTTCCATCACCTTGTCAGGAAAAGGAGCAGAGAGCCCTGGCCTGGACACAGTGCAGCCTAAGGTCACACAGCCCTTGTGCCTCAATTTCTCCACCTCCAGGAAAAACATCCAGTCCTGGGCTCCTGCAGCTGGTGCCATGTCTGCCCAAAGGCATGTGTGTCCCAGAGGCACTGTTCTGCACACACTGGCCCCTGCCTGGGTGGGGCCAGGATCAAGGAAGCCACCCTGCCCCAGGCCTGCCGGTCTGGCCACTGGGCAACTGCAGAAGCCACCCTATGGTTGAGAGCGCTACTGTCCGCTGCAGACCACACCTCCCACCTGAGCCTCTGTGGGTGGGAGTGCCAAGTTTTGCGCCTTTGGTTTTAGGGCAGGACAAGGCAGAGAGCTCAGACCTGACAAGCAATTTGGTTACACTAATTTTTAAAATATTTGGGAAAATGGAGCATAAAAACACTTTGAGACCACTCAGACCTAAGATGAAGTAATTTGATTCAAGTTTTCTGTATTAAAAAAAACAACACTGTAGACCAAATGTGCCTCTCTCCCTTACCTGGTCTCCCCTGTGCAGTGGCCCCTCCACTTCTATCCTTTTCTGTCCACAAGTCTAAAGCTTATCTTTAGATAAGGCACTCGTGTAGTCCCAGCACTTGGGAGACTGAGGCAGGATTGCTGGGGTTTGAGGCCAGCCTGAACTACATACTGAGACTGTCTCAAAAAAGCAAAATAAAAGGTGAAGCTTGACTGCCAGTGTTGGATCCCATAAACAATATGCATCACCAGTTTACACAATTTTACAGAAATTGTTGCAGTATTAATTCTTCATCCAGTATAACCTTTTGTCCGTCTGTGTTGGTGCAGGGAACCGAATCCAGGCCCAGGGGGTCGGGGGTTTGGCAGTGGTGGTACTGGAGATAGACGATTGGACCCAGGGCCGGCACACTGAGCCACAGTCCCATCCTCTCCCTTTCTCACGCTTCTGTTTTGAGGTAGGGTCTGAATAAATCGAAGTTTCCCAGGTGGGGCTCAAACTTGTGATCCTCCTCCCTTGGCCACCAGGAGTGCTGGGACTACTACAGACAACTGCCACCAGTGCTTTCTAGCCAAGCTCTATCACCAAGCTAAATCCAGGTCCCAGATGTTTGTCTTCAAAATCTGTCTGCAGGCAAGAGTGGTGGTGCATGCTTGTAATCCCAGTATTTTGGGAGGTTGGAGCAGGAAGATGGCAAGTTCTGCCCAGGCAGTGTAGCGAGACCCTGTCTCAAAAGGGTAGGGAGGGGCCGCGCGGCCACCCCTGTCTCCTTGTCCATTTCAGCTCTCGAGAACTAGTCACATTCGGTCTCTCCACTTAGGAACCGGCCACACAGGCTTTTCCTTCTTCACTGTGGAAACAGCTGCCGCGGCTGGAGTCCTTTTCCTGGGTCCCGTGCGGCCGCGTGGCTGCCCTGCCCTGGCGCTGTCCCGTCCTCAGCGTTCTTAGCGTCGGACATTTTTCCTGTGTTGTGTGAATTTTCTTACGTAGGTGGAATCCATGTTTATTATTTCCAGTATTATACACCTTGGCGACCCTTCAGAAGCTGTGGCTCCGAGTGGAGCGACGGACATTCAGGGCAGTGGACAGCGGGGCCGAGCGTCAGCAGGAGCCGCACCTCCTCCG